CCATTCTGATGTTATAATTATTGCATTTTTGAGTTTTTAAAGTCGAACAGGAGATGCTGAAGGACCAAGGGACAAATAGTCAGGGGGCATGTGATTGATGGATTTTTTGCAGTTTCTGCAAGGTGCCATGTTAACATAGTCTGCCACTATGTTTGCTTTTTCCACTTGTGGAAATGCGCGGTGTGGCCTTTATCTTATTGTAGGAGATTGTGTGGCATTTGACCAGGTGATCAATATTCTTAAATCGTATATCGAAATATACACTACAGTAAAATTTTGGTGAGATTTAAAGGTTTCAAAATCTACTAAAACAGAATAATCACTAACAGTGTCCAGACTAAGAAATCCATCGTCAGGGTTATAGAGAAGCTGCTATACCTGATACGTTTGATTATGTCTTACCCAGATCAACATTTGAAGCCCAATAAGAGGATCGACACTGGAAGCGTACAGTGGTCTGTGGTACAAATGAAGTACTACATTTTGCCCGAAGGAGGTTTCCAATCTGAAACAGAATCTGCAACAGAAGGGATGTTATTAATAATTTTAGAGGAGGATACTTGTGTGTTACAAAAGCCATATGTTCCCACTACACAACGTCCAAGATAGACCAGGCACCAGAGCTGAGCAGAGTTTTATGTTGGAAACAAGATTGCGAAGAGATACTGTTGAGTGAATAAATGATCAGAAAAGCCTTACCAAACGTTTACAGTACAAGAGGGCTGTGCCCCCATTCCTGGCTGTGGCCCATTTGGTGAAGTTGATGACATGATCCAGGTGTCTGGATAGATAGCCAATGTCTTCCTGTTGTTTTCGCAAAACACTCTCATGATCCTTTGTTACAGCCTGGAAAACATGAATAAGTGAACATCTGCAGTATTCAAACAGCTTGAGGGTATGCGCTCTGGGCCTCGGGGTAAAACAGTCAACTGTGCTTTTCAACCAAGTAATGTTCTACTGGAATCAACACCATAGCAAGCTACAGCCTACATAAAACTGCTAAACAGCACTTTTTTGTTATATTTGTAATATATTGAAAATATTTTGCCATACCTCAAGTTGATTAATGAGCATCTTGCCCTTCTTGTTGATCTCCAGAATCAAACTGCAGATCGATTTCTTTATTTCATTATGAACAGATGAACGGTTCTGATCAACCTGAAGAAGTCTGAAAAACATACATTACGACTATCAACAAGTCTTTAAATCTGACAGATTATATGTAAAATCAAACAGCACATTTTTCATGACACATTTTAGAGACATTATTACTGGAAGTAATATGCCGGGTTTTATCCATAACCAGTTACCCAGTTGTTCTTGTCCATGAGATTCAGAAGTCATATGGAAGTTGTCTAAACATTTTTATAAACTACAAGAGCCTTCAACTTTGGTTTACATTTTGCATTCTTGTGGTATGTGTAAATACATACCCGTTTTTTATGAAGTCTGATACCTCTTCAATCAGTTTCTTTTTCTCCTGCAGCTGATGGGTCATGTTCTCCATGTGCTGTTTGTGGTTTTTATAAGCATCTTCAAGGAACTGGTAACTAATCCAAAAAGAACATTAAGGCAGTGGATACAATACAGAAAGTAAACACTGATTACAGTGTATTAGGGCTCTACCAATGCACCTAATTGAATCTCCTTTCTTGGTGATGTGGATGATGGGCTATAGCCTACAGCAGCATACCTTAGACTGACAGGGGTTCAGTGAGACGATAACAATATGGCTGAAATAAACATCATGATAACGTAAGGATATTTTTGTATCAAAATGTAATTTGATATAGGGCTTTTTATGCTAAATCAAATTCATGAAATGTATGTTAATCACATTTAACTGCAGTGTAATGTCAAACAAAACTGAAATGTATACACAGGTCTATGAACCTTTATGTGACAAAATTATACTATGTTATATTGTCAACTGTGACTATACTTGTGGTCCTTGTGTTTGACTAGTTGGCAGTCACGGCAGGTTAGCAGGTCACAGGTCTCACAGAACAGCTTCAGAGGCTCTTGTTTGTGGATGTCGCAGAACATCGGCCTCTGAGTCGACACACCGTGGACCTCTGGAAGACAACAAAAGGTTCATCATTTGGCCCCTCATTCTGGGTTCATGACATTGGTTGTTCTGTCTTGGCACAATGTTATAGACCGTAGAGCTCAAGCTGACACCTCAAGGTTGGAGGTAACTGTTTGTGATTTCACTGGATGTAAAGGAGAAGACTCAAATATAAACAATGCAGAAATGCAGCGTAAAGTATATTTTCCCAGCTATAGGCTTAACTGTTGTTAGGGAGGCAGTTTTTATAGACATAGTTATAGCAGTATTAGTCAATGTTTGAAATAAATTAATTTAGGAAAATATTTCTCTAGCAGGTTCCTGCCAACTGGTGACTAACTTCTCGTCTATCATTTGCACGCTCTTGATAATAAGCGTTTGGCCTCCTGTCTTATTTTCAAACTACATCATACATCTAAATGTTTTAATTTAATTTGAATTCGGCTGAACTTAATGAGCAGTTCCGAATGTGTTCCATTATTTAACTGAGCCAGAAGGTTTACATTTACACACAGTATAAGTAAATTGCTTCAAATGTTTATGTAAATATCTACATTTATCATTTGGGCCATTAAAAATACCCTAGAGTGGCAGTGTTTGGGTTTTACCATCCTTGGAATGAGCTGAAAGTGTATTTCAAACAACAGTCAAGAGTGTAAGAATTTAAAATAAATATAAGGCCATTCAATTTTGATGCATTTTGATTTAAAAAATGTCCATTACAACCAGAGCAAAAAGTGACATTACTGACCCCATTATATCTTATTCCTATGTTGTGGAAGCACCACATGTATTTATTATTATTACTTATTGTATTTATTCACAGAAGAATAAAAAAAAAAAAAGAGAGATTACAATACCTTGTGATACTTCTGCCTTCTGTCTGATGGTGTGGTCTCTGGTGAATCTGACTCTCTGGTGGGCCTCCACACAGGTGGCACAGAGGTACTCCACACAGTTTACACAAAACCCGGCAGCTTCAGTGTTGTCATCGCAGGTCATACAGAGCTACAGGTATGAGACAAGCGTCAGAGTTCTGATACACCTCAGGCAGCCAGGTAACAAGAGCTGGAGGTGTTGGAGAGATGCTGGGTCTGGTTTGATCAGTGCAACTTAAATCAGACATGCAAAAATGATGTGAGGAATATTACAACAATCATCCTAAAAACTAGTAACAAGGCTGCCCCCATATGGTAATGCATCACTAACCTGGACTGTCCTCTCCACTGTGCTGCTGGGAGCCTCAATTGAGTCCTTCACGAAGACATTTTCCATCACATCTACCTCCATACACTCCTGCCTGCACACCGGACAGCGGATCACATTCACTGGAATGAAACAGAAGCATTTATGTTGGTCTAAATCAGTAACACCGAATGTGTGACACATGACACCAGATATTTATAGTGAAAGGCAGCCCATGTGTGAACAATCAATACAGCTAAACACACAAGCCTTGAAGCCTTGTGGAGCCACAATGAACTCTCCGATTTCTTCCACACAGGGAAAGATATATCCTTTAATCGATCCACGGTTGTTGTTTGTAAACAAAGTGACTCACGTGGTTTGGTCGCCCCGTCAACCTGGGAGTTTGGCGGCTCCGTCATGGCCAGATTCCTCGAGGGTGAAGGGAAACATTTCTTGCAAAAAGAGTGCAGGCACGGCAGAAGTTTGGGCTCTCGGCTGTGAAAGTTTAGAAAGCAAACGGGACATGTGTCCAGGTAATGTTGGCCGCTTGTCCCGGACTTTTCCTCTTGCACGGGCATGCTCTCAGCTTCGTTCTCCACGACGAGGACAGCAGCATTCCCCGTCTCCCGCTTTTCCGTGCGTCCATCCATTTGGTGCACTTTCATCCTCCGGCACTGGGTTGCTCTGTGTAGCAGGTGTGTAGCAGACCAAGCTCAAAAGGCATTCCCCGAAAAGAGCATCTTCACCTGCCTTCTCCTCTTCGCGCTCAGCCAGTTCATCCTTTTGTTTTTAATTCGCAGCGCTGTTGGTATATTAATAATTCTGCTCACCTGGTAGCTTATTTTGTAAAACGGCAATACATCGACAGGAGCACAAACATGTTAGCACAAAAGATACAAAATAATAGCTCCGCGTGAGGTGTGTCGCGAGCTCGCGTACGGCAGATGTTGCTCAAATTGCACCGCACGCGCTCGTTGCGGCACGAGAGGGGGTGGGGTCAAAGTCAAACTGCGTGTTCTGATAAGAGACAGTGGGATTGAAGTACACCGGTCAAAAGGCTGATGTTTGTTATCAACTAACTGTTTGAGCTGGTAACGTCCATTCAGTTGCATTCATTAAAAACTGCAGTTACTAGTCATTGGGACATATATGGCATCACCATTACCAAAACCTGTATAGTATGTGTCCAGAAAATAATTAATTTGAAGTTTTCCATTATTTAAAGGACAATTATTTCCCTAAAATTGAATGATTTAGGTTTTATCATCCTGTATGCCTGAAGAAGGGTAAACTCTGTTACTGCAAAAATCAACTTAAAGTCAATTTATTACACAGTTAATGGCATTCTAATAGAATAGCACAATTTCCCGCAATACTATCACTGAGTTTGTTAAACTCATTGATTCATCTTTTGTTTATCAAACATGTATGAGATTAAATTATTTTGATTAAATTTTCCATTGTGTTTATTTGAACTGCTATAATAACAGCAATAATAATACCAGCATGCCCATTTAGTCGCTATGCTTAAGGTAGTTGGTGGAATCAACCCTTTGATTTCACCGATTTCTCTCATGTGAGGAAAACTAAACCATGTAACAGTAATGTTACACTTAGTCCATTATTATTGTCCACCTGTTCAGATTTGATTGTGTCTGCAAATACTCTCAGTAAGCAGCCACTAACGTAAGTGCATGTGGGTTAAAGCATCAGGGTTCAAAGTTCACTGTCATTCAATAAATCACCTATTAGGCAGGCTAGAGAACAGAGCAGCATTTTCAGCATTTTCGCACACATGAATCTGACTGCACAGAGCCACAGTATCCCTCTCAGTGATGGGAACCGTATTCCACTGCTGGGATTGGGCACTTATGGGGACCCTCGAACGGTGAGAATAATATAATGTGTCTGTTTCTAGATTTGTGTGCCAGGCTTTATCAGGAGGACTCTCAGTAATGTAGGAGTGCCAGTGTTTCTGCTTATCAGCAATTGGAAAAACATTGACGGTGTTTTAAATGTCACTGTATGACATGTGAATATGTACCGTAATTCAAACTGGAATGTATATTTGCACAAACTGCCGCACTACTCGATCAAAACCAGGTCAAATAATATGCACATTTTCTCTTGTTTTCCAATAGACACCCAAAGACACGGCACTTGAGTGTGTCAAGCTGGCCATAGATGTGGGTTACAGGCACTTTGATGGGGCATTGGTGTATTTCAATGAGCACGAAGTGGGTCAAGCCATTAGAGAGAAAATTGCTGATGGAACCGTGAAACGGGAGGACATCTTTTACTGTGGAAAGGTAATAGGTTTTGTTATATGTCAAGCTATGTCATGTAGTTTAAGAACTCATTATGTTTTTCAGAAGGCCTATGCAATGGATATTTGAACACTATAAATATTCAATACTATTTTACATTCATTTAAATGTCTTAAAGTACTTCTGTTGTCTTCCTCAGCTCTGGAATACCTTCCATCCACCGGAGTTGGTGAGACCAGCCTTGGAGAGGACACTGAAAGCCTTGAAACTAGACTATGTGGATCTCTACATTGTTGAGCTTCCTATGGCCTTCAAGGTTTTTACACATACAGATTTACTTATCAGCCAGCCATGTAGTGTCTGAACATTGCCCTTCCATACAGAGAAACGGTAATGGTAATGTTTAGTTTAAATGATGCTCTTATCAGTTTTCCTGTCAAACAGGATGGTTTGAGGTAAGATACTTAGACGCATGGCAAAACAAACACATCTTCATGCCCGTTCACAATCTAACACACAGTTAGGTTTCATATGCACTAGACAAAATACCTAGCCTAGTGTCGCCAGATTAATTCGCACAAGCAAATCTGCCAGAACAATAGAATCATGAGCTCAGCAGATTCATCTGGTTCTCTGGCTACAAGATACCACAACAACAATAACAATTTTATGAAGCAGTCATATTTATGCTGGAAGCTACATAACAAATTTGTGTAGTTTTAGTTTTAGGTTTCAGAAAAGATTAGACAGTTGGGTATGTTTGGTTGAATGGGCAACTTGAACCATTTGGCTACTGTTGGAATAAGTGTTTTGGTCACTGGCATCACCACGTCCAGCTTATGCAACCAAAGGAAGCGTATATTTAACATAACAATTGTTGACACAAATGATTGAATTGTGCTTAAATTCCAGCCTGGAAATGAGTTCTATCCAAAAGACCAGCATGGAAAATACATCTACCACCATACAGACCTCTGTGCAACATGGGAGGTGAGTTCTGATGAATTCACAATGAATGGTCCTGCAATTTGATGACTGTGCATGACTTATCTCTCCTCCTCCTTCTTGTGTATTATGTATGGCATTGTCTTCTCACTTATTATTTTTTTCTTTTACTTTTGCTTCACACGTTTACATAAGTATAACTTAGAAACAGGAAACACACCAAAAGCAGTAAATGCATTTATGTTAGTATAGAAGGACAAAAAAGCATTCATAATTGTAATATTAATTGGATGTTTTTTGCTGCAGTGTAATTTCATTCTATTCAAGTGTGCTACAACTGGTTGGTCCTTCTCCGACTGAAGGTTTTGCTATATTTTCGATGTATTCTGTGCTTGTAAAGTACTACATGTCGTGAATGATAATATGAAAGTAATAGCAGTAATGATATCAATGAGTCAAGATAAACCACTTTTAAAATGGCATGTGATATTCCTTCACACTTGAAAGTTGGTTTCCAGAACTGTCTCTGCTGCGGCATCAGAAAACTGTCAAGAGCAGTCAGACAGTGTCAAAGTGTTAAAATATCAGTTTTTTTCCTCTTCACTGTGCTTTTATTTTTCTTCACTATCTCAGTAGGTCTGTAAATATAATCACTCTTAGTCTTTGTGAGGATGTAATCTTTTCTTCTCAACAGGCTTTAGAGCATTGCAAAGACGCAGGGCTGGTTAAATCTCTGGGAGTCTCCAACTTCAACCGTAGGCAGCTGGAACTGCTGCTGAATAAACCTGGCCTCAAACACAAACCTGTGTCCAACCAGGTGACCCCAACTTGTCTCTTTACACCCCCACTGACCAGATAAAGCATGGTGTATGTAGTACAGTAGTATATTACAGTATACAGTGCTATTATGCTATTACCAAGAAAGCATTGCTTAACTTTTTATACTTCAATACTAAATAAACAGACACCTCAACATTAAATCAGTGAGCAAATCAGAAGTATCTTGATGAAAGGATTTACCATTACTTGGTGAAAAGATGGGAAGGAGTTTGATCCATGTATGTATACTACTCATGTAGTTTTACACTACATGAGTGCAGCCTACACACTGGACCTTTAATTTAACTCAAAAGACTTACTGTAGACGAAACTTCTTGTCATATGAATGTAATATCAGACTACTCTGGGCCAATTGTGTATTTTCCTCTTCCTTACCCGTAGGTTGAGTGCCATCCATATTTCACACAACCCAAACTTCTGGAGTACTGTCGTCAGCATGACATTGTGATTGTTGGCTACTGCCCAATTGGCTCCTCCAGAGATGCATCCTGGTATGTAGGTTTTAAGATATATGCACTTTTCAAGGCCGGTGGGATTTTTTTGAATGGACCTGCTGACAGCTGGTATTTTGTAATGTTTTGTTCCCCCTGGTCATGGAGGGCTGATAAAATTGGGAGAAAGTGATCTCTGTGATGCTCTTACACAGGGGAAACGCTGGGGATTCATTAGTCTTTAAATGAAGAATTAATGTCCAATCAGCTAAGTGAATGCAAATGCTGCAACGAAATTAACTTTTGTCATGGAAAGAACCTAACCTGGATCATTAACATAAGGCAATTTTCAAAATGTCAGCCTATGTGGAACTGCAAGACATGGAAGATGCTTAACATGAAAACTTCTGTATGAAGGTATCTTTTGTATATTCATCTGTCTCTGGTTTAGGGTGAACGTCAAATGTCCTCCTCTGCTGGAGGACGAGCTGCTTGTATCCATTGGGAAAAAGTACAACAAGAGTAGTGCCCAGGTGGCTCTGCGCTTCAATGTCCAGAGAGGAGTTGTAGTGATCCCTAAGAGCTTCAGCCCCGAGAGGATCACACACAACTTCCAGGTGGGTTTACCAGAATGCTGTTTTATCATAGGTTTGACTCGTACATACTGTATACAGTAAATGTATTCGTTAATAAGACAAGTTATGGTGGCAAAATCCTCACTTCATACAGTATTTATCAATTTATTTAAATCATTTCAGTATAAACAAATATTCTTTTCCCAGATATTTGATTTTTCACTCACTGAGGAAGAAATGAAAGCCATTGAATCACTGAACAAAAATATTCGTTTTGTGGAGCTGCTGATGTAAGTATATGCTTTGACAGGAAAAAATAGAATCAAAAGTGAGTTGAAGCTAAAACTGTATCTAAATGTGAAGGTTACTGTTTATATTATAATGATTTGTGTTGTGATGTTTTTTCTAAGAGACTAAGTCCTCATCATCGTGTTTTTTTGTTTCACCATAGGTGGAGTGATCATCCAGAGTACCCATTTCATGATGAATATTAATTGTTTTCATTCCCTGTCATGTGCATATTTTCCTGAATTAAGTTCTTCGCACAAATGAAGAACAAAACGTGGAGCGACTCCTTTCAGCATCCTTCACCGATAAACTTTGCACCGGTGCATTTTCATGTTGAACACTAGAGGGCACTAGTTCACAGTAAATGAAAAGGAAATTAAAGCTTTTAAGGTTAAGATGTATGAAGGTGAAGTTGTTTGTGTATAGCATGTATTGTAGGCCGTTGAATATATAATGATAATTAATTGTTATTGAGTTCCCTGATTTGAAATGTAAGTTTAGTTTGCAATTATTAAGACCCTTGAATTAAATCAAGAAATACATCATATTTAGAGAAATTCACGTGGATATTTGTTTGTTGAAATAGCCCACAAGGTTTGTCTTTATTATATGTTTCAGATACATTAGGTGATCACTATATTACTGTAACATGTTAATAATAATAAATTTTATTTCTAAGCGCTTTTCTAAATACTCAAAGATACTATAGTAACAAGCAGTGTCCACATCCTTATTAAGCAGTGCTGCTTGTGTGTTAATAGAGTTAAAAGGAAGTATGGAAAGCCTTTATTTTTCCATTGAGTGAATCACTCTTGGTAAAGCCACTGCATGTATAAAGCACATTTAAAAACAACAAAAGTTGACCAAAGTCCTGTACCATGTTCAAGGCAAGGCTAAAAAACAACACAGCCTGGAATGTAAGAGGTAGGGAGGTATGCAAGTCCAAAAGCCAAAAATATAAAAATGGGGGATGTAAAGGTTTCATTTGTGGGTGATCTTAAAAATAAAGAGTAGCTCTAGTGGTTACAAATTCAAATGAATGTACACACATGCTGTTTGGAGGTGAGGTAAAGCATCTTGGACAGCAGCTGTAACTGAAAAGGGGCACGTGAGAAAAGCTAATAATTAATTTGGAATATGCTGGATGGATTTAGCATTTGTTTTGAAGTAACATATCCAATCAACTAAAACAATTCTTTAATAAGACATTCAATCAAATACAGGGATCATGTCCAATATATTTGTGAATGCACATAAAGTATAGTGCCCCCGAAGGAAGAAATGTAGTGAATATGTTTGATTGCCAAACTGTGATGTTATTAATGGTATTGCAGATATTTACTTGTTGAAGTGGTCTGAGTTGAAAACATCTGTTGTCCTACTGTTCACATTATAGCCCCTAAGGAGTTTGGGTAAAAGATGTGTGTGTACCAGAGGGGGTGTTTCTTTTATCATTATATAAGATCAATAAAAAATATAAAAGAACTATATAAAATCTGACAATGACAAACAGACATTTTTCTTAGACAAACTGTAGTAAAAGATGGCAGATACTTCCGTATGAAAAAGTCTAAGAAAAAAAAAGAACAACCATTAATAAATAAACTTGGCTGTTTGAAAAGGTAATTTACGCGTTTTATGGCTTCATTGCAGTTGATAATTGTTCCTTATCTTGACTCCAGCAGTAACATTATCTTGAAAATAGTTTTTGCATTGGAGTTGTAAACCTTAATGAAGACAGCCATTTCAATGTAAACCTGTTACATGATGCATGTTATAGTCTGTGAGTAACATTCTTGGGTTATGCACATTTCAGGCAAATAAAGCAAAATACAATTGCAACAAACCCTCTTTGTGTATAGTTAGTTAATTTATAGCTGTTCCTGTTTAAATTGAAACTTTAACATGACATATCTTCCTAATCTCTATTGGTATTTAGCTTTAAGAGTATGGACGACAACAACTGAAGACTGTCCATCAGACTTTGATATGAATCGCCTAGTTAACTCAAAGCTCTCTGCTTTGTTTGTTCAGAGAGGGTATACGGGTTTGATCAGAGCAAATCTATTATCACACTGTTGACACACTGTCTAATCTTTGTGTACACACCTATTACCTACTTTAACCAACATGTCCAATTTTCTCTTTGCTGTCTGTCAAAGGCAGAAATTTTCCACCAAAGGAAGGAGCATTCAGCAGCATTTAACAAACATGGGTTTATTATTAGTGGCTTAGTGTCTTTTAAAATCTATTTAAAGCATCTTTTATTTCTCCTATGAGCAGTCATATAAGAAACTTTATTAGCAATCCCCATTACTTGACAAGGTCCCTCTTGAAAAAGGTTTGAGTGAATGTTTGTATATGCCACAATCATTTCATTTTGCAGAAACCTAAACGTGGGGGGAAGAGTGAAGGTGTATTGATGTGGTCACCAATTAATCCATTCAAGTTTTATTTCCCAAACATGCAGTCTAGTTAAAGGACCAGTGTGTAGGATTTAGCGGCATCTAGCGGTTAAGTTGGAGATTGCAAATGACCACCACTCACGTCTGTATTTGACAGCCTGGGAATGAGAACAGGCTTTGAAGTGTGTAGAAGAAACTACCGCCATCGCTAAAAATGAAAAAAGCGTTATCTTGAGACTGTTTTTAATTTGTCTATTTTGGGCTTCTGAATGCTTCTAAATGTTTCACACTGGACCTTTAAAATATCTGATGCAAGTTTCTTCCACTGACCTCAAGTTAGCCAATGTTTTTTAATGTATGCAAATGTTTGGATCAAACTGGTCTCATATTATCCTTTAAAAGCCCTGTGAGTGCGCCCCCAGAATGTCTAAACAGCTGTGGATTAGATTTTAACTTCTCATGCCAGGAGACCTTAAATGAGCTGCTTTCACGCATTTAATTTAACCAGCACATTTGAGTTTGATGTGAAGAGACAAGATGGAGCCTTCTGATTTAACAGACTACAATCTGAGCAGTGACCTGTGGCTGTACAATCACAGAACAGCAGGAAGTGAGAGATGTAGAAATACAGTTCACTAAGAAACCCCCTTCTGTTGTTTTGTCTTCTTTTTGTCTTTTTTTATGCCCTATGACAATGACTCTGGACGAGCTACTAGCATAACATTTGAAAGAAAGAAATATTTGCACAATTAGACTTTTGTTGCAAATGACAGGACCACTGAATACGAACAGCTGAAAGGATTTGTTTTTAGCTGCACCAGAATAGCTGTATTTTTTAATCAGAGCATAACCAACATCCATCATCATCTTAGGGCACTTCCAATGTCCCATACTTAATTTAAAGGGCCAGTGTGTAACATTTAGGAGTATCTATTGGCAGAAATGCAATTTAATATCCAAAACTATGTTCTCATTAGTGTATAATCACCTGAAAATAAGAATCATTGTGTTTTCGTTTCCTTGGAATGAGTTGTTTTTGTCTACAGGCGGAGCGGGTCGTAAAAGGAATAGTTTTGAGGCCAGAGCCAGCAACCACCCAGCTGAAAAATTGTCAACTGGGGATGCGGATGCTGCGATCTCTTTGTCGTAATATACTGTGTGTCATTCGTTTTGAATAGCAACCACGAGGTCATGACATCAAATGGAAATAGACCTGCTGGTGATGTGTTGCAGCATCGTGTATGTGGCCAGGAGCTGTACTGAAAATTGCAGCAAGATTTAAAATTGAACAAGTTACTGTCAGTGAGCACATGTGACTTAAATATGTTTTTTTTTAACTGATTCGGAAAAGATTAGACAGATTCTTTGTTCATACATTAAAAGTCAAAACTGCCACCAAACTGAAGTCAGGCAGACGGCTTCATTTTTATAGAAAGCTAATGTGTCCGTGTCTTGAATTATAATTTGATTTGAGGTGGGGGTTGGGGAGTTTACAAAAGAAGACCTAACCCTGAAAGATTTGAGACAGGAAAAACAGAAGCACATTACTCCCCCCCCCCATCCCCACCTCCATAAAGACCCTCTGCATTGTGACCTTCTAACAATGCCTTGAACTGGGCCACTCTGGACCCCTGTGGTGGGAAAATGTTCTGAATGGGCCACTGGGTCTGTGAGGAAGGAATATAGCTGAGGGAATAAAGACTCTTTTTTTTGGGGGGGGGGGGGCTGAATTAAGAATGTGCTTGGAGCAGGGGCTTCATGAAGCAGGAGTGATGTTTTAATTACAATCAGTCAGAAAAGACCACTGGAATATCGGGGGCACTTATTGTGAATCTGTGAATAAATCTGTTATTTAAAATGCATATGGTTTAAGGATGGTACATATTTGCATTTTTAATTTTTTTTCAAACCAACCTCAGTGGTATTGGAGATCATTGCACATATGCATACACATGTGCACATTTCTGACCAGCCTCTACCCCATATTCTTTGCACAGAAAGGCCCTGGGAGAATGTGTGTGTCAAAAGGTTACGCAATCAGCCCACCACGCTGAGACAGCACAGACCTCTAGTGTGCTGTGGGGAGTGAGTGTGTGTGTGTGTGTGTTTGTGTGTGGGGGTGTCTGAATGGAATTGGATAAAGGGGAGGGGGGTCTTCAGAGAGGGGCAACTCAGAGGGAAAATCTCACTGCGGGCTGCACCAAAGTTCTCAGTTTCTCAGATCTCCGCCCCTCCTTGAATGTTATATAGTGAAACCTGAAACAGGAGAAGGCCTCTCTTCTTGAAACTGTCATTGTACTACATTATGAAAGGTGAGTGTTTTTCATTATGGATCATGTGATTAGATTTTTTTCCAGCCAGAGATGGATAATAAGTGAAATTATTGCTGTTTATGTGATATAATGAACATATTCATAGACATCTTAAATTTGTATGGGATTATTTATTTATTGGCAGTCATGCTCAGCTGTTGTTTTAAAGGCTCTATGGCAATGCAAATAAACCATACATGGTTTTATCCAGCTTATGAAAGGCCTGCAGTCTTAAAACATTACTAACATATTCAGGTGCAAAGATTGTGCACCCGAATCTTGGCTTTTATAACTTTGTTATGTTCAGCACAGTTAATTCCATGCTGATAATCATGTCGTTCTTAGCTGTAATCAGAAAGTAGATCAAATAGGACTAAATGTGCTGCTGATCTAAGTCAAAAGTTGCTTTTATAGAACGCAATTCATCCTCAGCCAGTACATACATTACGAAGCATTTGTAGCTCATTTCAGATTATGTTTCTCACAACTAGAGATAAATTATCAATCTGTAAAAATAGCTTTCACAGGGCATTATCATGTAAAACATGGATATTGTCTTGCAATCTAACAAATCTGGTTACACATCAAATGCTCACTATTTTTGTGACACAAAATTATTGATAGGAATTTAAAGCAGGTTGTTGAACTTCTTCGATGGTTTATATTAATTAAAGATGCCATTTTTATTCACAGCTTTAATTTGTATTTCTTTTTACACCAACCACGTTTATCTTTTCTAACTTCCATCTAGACGTACATCACTTAGTATTCAACATCCAGCAAATATAAATCTTTACGAGGCACAGGTAAACATGTGACACTGATGTCCCAACCTTATGTAACTAACCCAGTTACATATTAGCCTGCAATTTTCCAACTGTGGGAGCTTCAGTGTACTGGACATTATTATGAATATATAACTCTGAGCTGCACGTGTATAAAAGAGAAGCCAGATTACTGCCTTTGTGGGACATCACCCACAAGACCCACAGGCTCAGGTATCCAGGTAGCATTTGTTTCTATGTATATTGATATTATGAAAAAGACAAAGTAGCTTACTAAAGTATTCAGCCTTTTTTTATACCCAAGCGGGGGGGCGGCCCTCATTTACAATGACATCAAGTCAATTTACAGAAACGAAGAAATGAACTGTAATAACAGAGGAAGACAATAGCACAGCTAGTGAACAGAAAGCCTATAAAAATTCCTGATTAGGGTAGATAATTTAGATAAATTAAAACAATTAAGATGTAAAATAAAATACAGGTATGTAAACCGATTATAAGTAGAGTCTGGGAGGTTTAAAACTAAGTTTCTAGTGTATTGTTTTTGAGGAGCTTCTATATTTTGTTCCATGAGTCAGTTGCACTACATTTAAAAGCCGTCTTTCCTAGTTCAGACCTGACTTGTAGAATATCAGCCAATGAGTAGAGTGACACTGATAGGTAATTTGGTCATTTCTGACTGATCTGTCACTGTACTCTTTGGCTTTTCACTTTCACCTTACTATACTATACTTATGTTAGTTTAGGTCACTCACAAACAATAAAAACTACCCTAAAAGGAAAAAGGAACATTTTATGTGAACAATCTTGTACTTGTATGTGAAAGATGTTGCTTGTTCTAACAACCCCACAGAGAAGTATCACAGTGTTTGAGCATCTTTTGGCTCATTATGTTTTTTTCAACACTCTCATCAACCTTGTTTCCAGCCACAGCAGACATCTGTTTCCAGCAAAAAAATCTCTGCACTTAAAGTACTCTACCTGCTCAGACCAAAGTTAGTTCCATGCTGGTGAACATAGTGGTGCATTTATTAGCTAAAGACCCAGACATTTCACTCTGGACCTGGTGGGGAACAAATGGGTGCATTTAAGGATGAGTTAATATTGGACTAGTGACCAGAAGGACTACTCCAAATTAATGTTAACGTTGCCCTGTATCTGCTGGATGTGTAAATAAGCAACAAGTTTGCAAACCAGCTGGCCATATCAACTTATAGGCGATAGATTATATATCAGTTGTATTTGGTTGCCAAACAATGAGTTACTGCAGATAGTAAAGTATTTAACCATCTTACTTGATTAGATATGATAACCAGCAATCATATACCAAAAAGGCTTGCAATTAAACCTTGAGTGGAGATATGGAATTTAGAGAGCAATTTAATAGCAGCTGAAAACCTCTTTGCTACAATAAAATTGTACTTCAGGGTGTGTGACATCACTGTTGGGCGTGGTGTTAATCTCAGATTACTCCACACAAGGAGGACTACTCAGCCTATGAAAACAGTTTGAAAAATAACCCTGCTCATGTCATTAGGGTTACCACCCCAGGTGCCCCAATACTTAATATTCCTAACAGGAAGCTTTTGAAAGAAGTTAGCATTTAGGATGCAGCAAGGGGGTCCTGAATTGTATTATGGGAAATGTAGACCCATACTAGGGACTAATAGTCGGGATATCTCAGTCTCTGCTGCTGTGCCCTTAATAATCTTTTGTCTTTTTTCAGTCTCCAAACTTAATGGAAACTGCTTTTCAGTTAGCATTCAGAACAATGTCCCACATGTTCTGTATTTAACCAAAAGGATTGTGTGTGTGTGTGCAGTACCTTGGTTTTGATGTCATGGTGTTATTTAAAGAGGAAATCCGATTTCACACATCATTTTACAGGTCTTGGGGATTACTACTGGATTTATGAAAACAAAATTGTGTTAGGTCTAGTGGCTCTGGAGGGAGCAGGGAATATATGGGGCTGAAGACTAAAATCATAAAAATGAAATAAGTTAGTTAGTGGAGTTAGAGAGAAGCTAGTCTTTAGCCTGCTCCTCATCTCTGCTTTAGTCTTGCAGCTCAAGGCTGCTACTGGGATAACAAATCTAAATCTCCAGCAGCCAAGTTGCATTGTGGGTAACAGAAGAAGAATGCTTGGAATAAAAAAGAAATTTGATCATTTTTGTTCAACTGTCCATTATGTGTCTATCAATGTTGTAGAGGAGCAATGATAAATCAGTGCAGCACTATTTTAAAGACCGTGGGTGTATAAGGACAAAAGAGAGCACATGATGTCCAAGAAGTCAGCCACACATTCATTCAATCATTCAATAGGTCAGTCTGTCAGTCACTCACTCAGCCACTTGCTCAGTCAGTCCACAGCTTTTCAGAGAGAGGTGAAGTTGGCACTGTGTCCTGGGATAAAGCTCCACTGTGCCTCAGTGAGGTCATTCTGAATCTTGGCATGTTTTCTCACAGAGGGCCTGTCCTCTAACGTTCTATGTATGAAAACTATTTCAGCCCATGCTACTATAAATAATGATATTATTTAGCCTCACCTATTTAAAGACTGTTTGAAATGAGGTATTTGGCCCGTGTGTTGAGCGCCTCAGCATCCACAAAGAAACTGTGAAAAAGTGAGGCAAACTGTGATCTGGCTGCAAGGCCAGTGTGGATTCTCATTTGCCAGCACAGAGCAGCAGTCCTCCTCTGCCTTTGTTGCACCAAGATTTCATTCCCACCAAGTATACCTTCTGAAAACAAGGGGCTCTATTTTTACCTCAGGCCACAATTTGGCTCCAGTATGGAGAGTTTGGCACCTAAAACCCATCCAACCTCCAAACCGATGCACACAGCACACACAGTCACACTTGTGCTCCACCTCTGCCCTTTGCCAGTGGGAGCACATTCCTAAAGGTGGCTTCACACAAGGTTTCTGGCTAAATGGGATTTCCATCCCGTGTTGTTTTCAGAACTGAACTCAAAAAACCGACAGCCTCATTGGTCCCGTGGGACCAGGTCACCCAACATGTAATGTGTTTGTTTGTGTGGATGTGTTTAAGATAAAGGAAGGGAAGGAAGTTTGACATGGATTCTTGCAACTGAATCAGTGTGAGCATGTCTCCTGCAGACTGATGACCAATTTGTTTGAATTTGGACTGCAGCAGCAACCACAATGTGCCTCAGAGAGAGGAAAGGGGTAACAGAATGGCTGGTGAGAGGCCTATTAATGCAACCTGACAGGAGTGAGCACAGTCTGTGAGTTGTCTGTTTCCTCCACAGAGAGAAATTCTTTCAGCAGCACAGACCCCCAAACGGTCTGGCCGAGAGCTTGACTAACTTCAAATGTGGTCACGTAACATCAAGCCATTACTGACCTCATCCAGCACAGAAAAAGTGACATACATTACATTATAGCCCATATAAACATAAACAGACATATTTGGCACGTCACGTGCACAGTGCGAATTCTCCTTGAGAACTAGCCAGGGTCCTGAAATTCCTTCTCCCTCCAGGTCTTAAGTGCATTTAATCTTAAAATAGATCCCCCTTTACTAGGCAAGGCAATATATTTATATTTCATTACAAGGAAACGTACACAGCTAAAAGTCGTGAGTTGAATTAACTCCCACAGAGTTGATTTTTCAGGCTTTAATTTAGCTGAGTTCCTTCTTTTACTCGCAAAAGATTAGGTTATATTAACACAGACTGACACTCTGAGTTACATTTTTAACTATTGGGTGGAGTTAATTTTACTCCCTTAAGTGTAAAATCTACACTGAACATTTTTTAATATTAATTATAACAATTAATTACAATAATCTAAATCATTTTCAAAAATAACATTTATTTTTGCATTTTCATGTGTGAAACAATGCACAATCCTATCGTCATATAAATCACACAAATTAAAGGCAAAATGTGCTTTGAAATGTTCATCAAGTGGCTTCAGGGAGCGGTTTGCCTGGCATCAAAAGAGATGCTTATCCATGGTGATGTAGAAGCTGTCGATCCAGTTCTTCTGACGCCCCCAAACGGCGAGGAGGTACGGTCGCCGAGATGATCCTCCAAACTGTAGCATGGCTGAGATTGAGAGAAGGAAACAGATAGAGAAAACTGCATTATTGAAGTGATTACTGAAACATCACCCTGGCTAGTGTGAGAAAGGAAAGCCCATGAAGACAATTTCATCCATTTTAACAATCCTGATTTACACACGTGGCTAAGAAAGTGATGTGACAAAGTATTATAATCACCTTAATAGTTTTTGGAGACTTCGGTCCCCCAGGTGGTGGTGGTGAAAGAAGATGTATCAGCAACAACAGGGAGGCAGTTTCTTGTAGGCTGAGGACAAAGAGTCACAAGAATAAAATCATAACTCTTCAAATGTAATACTTTGATAATAATAATTTGAATGAGAACAAAGAGGCATTATGAGTCCATCTATTGCTCATATTCATTACAAAAATCAGATCAATTTTGAGGGACAAACAGAATAAACCGAATTCATAAAATAATGAATGAAGCAACTGTAACCGCAGTTATAGAAAATGATTTTAAAACAAGAAAAACAAATACAACTCACTTGTTTCCCCATCAGAGAGCCTTGGCTTCGGGAACAAATATAGTCTTTGAGAAAGAAGATATTGATTAATTATTCATTATAAACTACTACAAGAAATACTTACAAATTTCAAGTTATTCTAAACATTACATTTCATTCTTACCAATCCTTTTGTATCCAGGAACCTTGGGAAGGTGGAGAGGACATCAACATTTCTACCTGGTTCATTAACACAGACATCAGATACAGCACGCTGCGACACCTTTTTGGACCCCTGTGGCCTCTGTATGTTAAACTGTGGTGAAGGCAAAAAAAAGGGCAAGCAACTAGCTCTAACCTCAAACAAGATTTTATACAGTAAAAACCAAACATTTTATTTATCATTGCTTTGAGCTTGCATGTGAATTGTTGTCAAACAGTTTGAGTTGGTGACTAACGGTTAGCTAGCTGCCACAGACGGCTAACTAAATGTTAGCTGTTCAGTCCTGACAACAAACGAGGCTTTGTAAGTAAAACTTATTCTCTGTAGGTGTTTTATTGTACATACTAAAGTTCACAGCATCCATCGTTTCACTGGGGTTGACTTAACTGCACTTACCGTGTAGAGCTGCACGAGTGGAGGGAAACGGTGATAGCTCGTCCTTCACCGAAAAAGTTAAATGCGTTTCTTCTGTGGGCGGAGTTTAACTACACCTACACGGAGTTGGTTTGGCTATGACTGATGTACAACTCCCAACACTGAACAACGTTTAAATCAGAAAGGGTTCAAATTACACTGTGGGAGTGAAAAACTACTCGGAAATGTTTAACCCTGAAATTTCATCATTCCAATTTTTGCTGTGTAATTGGCTTTACATTAAAAAAAAAAAAAAAAAAAGCATGTGCAGAAGAATATCATGAACACAAGACAATGTACTAGTAACAGAAGGAGGACACACACAGTGACCCATCTTAAGCTTTTAAAAACATTTAGTTTGCTGTTGAATGTGGACACAGCTGTGACACATCTCAGGTTTTCAGGCAAAGAAAAGTAACCAAAAGCACCCTCATAGGATCCGTAGGTACAATTAAAAAACAGTGCTACATGTATTTATATTTAATCCTACCTGATAGATTCAATTGGGTCCAAGGACTACTGAGTGAAATTTGAAGTTGCTTCGGTTTTGTACTGCATAAACACGGGCGGTTGCATTTAGAATTCGCAAATTGTGCAAATGCATATAATTTTGGATGGTAAAGTCTCATGGAAATGTGTTAGACTGAAGGAGTGTGAAAAGATCAGGGTGATAATTCAATAGGATCATTAACTGGCTACGTTGAATCATATTTGAATGATATGGTATGGTCATGTTATATTATCCTTAAACAATCATGATTTGGAGAAAATTTTGTTACAAACTAAACTGAAGTTCTTCACATGTAAAGAGTTCCGACTGACGTAAAGCCTAAAAAGAAAACAGCGTTCATTTGATTCCTGTTGGTGACATTTTGTGTACATTTGCCATGTTGTGATATAGTATATCTGGATATCTTAAAAATGTGAATGTGGTGATGCTGATTCTAGTCAGTCCCAGCCCTTTGCTATTCAGACACAGAAGATGTTGTTGAAATTTACAAATAAAAACTGCTGTAGCACATTACTATGGGGTTGTCTCTTTAATTCTTCATCAAAGGGATTGCCTCAGAAAAAAAAAGAAAAGAGGAATCAGATATGCTTCTCCAGCTGCATGCTGCCCTGCAATGACCTTTGGACTTTTGCCATCCCGCAGGCTTTATCTATGTCTTTTGCCCCATTCCCTCTTTGTAATTTTTGCTTTTCTCCTCCACTCTTTCTCTTTGTAACCCTCAGGGCACACAGATGACATGGAGAACATGTCTAAGGTGGAGCCCTCCAATGGGCACAGCAGGCCGCTGGACATCGTGCCCAGTACAGAGGAGAAGATGACAGACAGGGGTCAGTGGGGCAACAAGCTTGAGTTTGTTCTGTCAGTGGCCGGAGAAATTATTGGCCTGGGGAATGTCTGGCGTTTCCCCTACCTTTGTTATAAGAACGGAGGCGGTGAGTGCTGGAATTACTTATCTCTGGTTTGTTGTCTCGCTGCTTGTTCAACACAAAAGCTTGAGTTTCTGCATTTAGTCATTTATTTACGACACTGGTGCACACATTTTGTCGTTGGTGTTTGATCTCAAAATGTCCCACCAAAAAACACAAGGAAATCCCGTCTTTACATTTGCTTGCAACCCAACTCTGTTGCAGCTAAGCTTCTAAGAAAAGATTATTTTGAATTAGCTTAAGAGGTGGTAATGCACAGGTTAATATGTGATCTATTCCAAAGATATGCATTGCTCAATGAAGGACATGGTTCACTGAAAACAGGAAAAAAGCCAGACTAATTTTGGCACACAGTTACCTAATGTCTGATAGGGGCTCACTGACAAAGAATAACACCTGCACTCAGTAAAATCTTTTTTTAATGTCCCATAGGATATAAAATTGTTTGATTATTTCTTCTGCTTAAATAATATTTTGTATGACATTTTGCAATTTTTTACCTAGAAACCTTTATTAAACATTTAAAAACTTTAACATTTATTTGCAATGTGTTTGATTCATTTTATAACAGTTTGCACCTGTCTCTGCATCACTCGAGACCATATTAAAGATGGCTGAGTTAGCTGTTCCTTTAATCTGCGTGTGCTTCTACAGGTGCCTTCTTCATCCCATACCTCATCTTCCTGTTTGCTTGTGGGATCCCAGTCTTCTTTCTGGAGACATCTCTGGGTCAGTACACCAGTGAGGGCGGTGTAACCTGCTGGAGGAAAATCTGCCCTTTGTTTGAAGGTAATCTACCTATTTCCTTAAGAAAGATAGATTAATGGATGTTCAGTGATGTTAGAAAACGTTGGTGCCATGCATTCCCAATTTCTGTTTATTTTACAATGTTATGACATAATTAGGTGTTTCCTGTGCTTTGTAAAAGTGTATGTGTGGGGTAGCATCAAGCATGATGTTTTTAATGTAAATATGTAATGACCTAATGATCATTGTAATCTTATTATTTTGAAACAATGAGTTGCTTGAGTACCACACAGCACCCATACAAAGACTGCATGTGAACAGAGCATTGAAAGTGCACAACAACGTGGGATGACAGTGGAATTTCAGGCATGTGCTTGCAATATGTTTATGTGCATATATTCCATTTCAGTGTACGCCATGTGCAATTGTGTACATACAGTATATGTACTCAGTGTGACTTAGTGTGTGTCTGTGTGGATACATGCGTGTTCAGGGGTGGATCTAGAGGTGGTAGCATAGGGTGGCAGCGGCCATCCCTTAAGAAACAGTTTGGTGTTAAATTCTGTCAAATTTTACACATACATTTAGATTAATAAGTGCTGAAAAATAACACATAGCATTTAATAATCTGTTATGGACACATTTTAAACTATGTAATAGGCTCAAGTTAAATGAAAAAAATAATGTATTTGGAAAAATGTATGAAGATTTGGAAATGATAAAAATTATATTATTATAAATTTGAAATGTATAGATGTCTAATGCCATCTTTAATGTCTATGAATTTCTATTCAGTGCTTTACGAATGTGCCACAATAATGTAATATTTTTGAGTTAAAATATCTTCATTGAGGAATTTTCCACGTAAAAGTAAAAGTCAACAATTCAAGGTTATTTTATTGACATTTACAATGCAAGGTTGTAGAATGAAATTGTTACAGATAGAGTTACAGAATTCAGATACAGTTCCTTTTATGCTACTTTAAAAAAAAATAATAATAATTGAGGAGTCTGAAAAAAAAAAAAACTGATGCAAACAGGGGAGTGTGTCTTTGCCTCTTTTTTCCTAAAATCAATAATCAGATCCTTTATTTTGCTGACGTTGAGCAGTAGGTTGTTTTTCTCCCAATATTAAGTCTTATCATTGTTTGAAATCTGGCCAATTAAAATATATTTGTGATTTAAATATATTTCTGCCAACCCTTAAAGTCTCTATGCCACCCTCTTGCCACCCCATGAATATTTCTCTAGATCTGCCTCTGTGCGTGTCAAACAACCAGAATGCATGTGACACAAAGACAGATGTTTGATGGGGAAGCATTGTTGCTGCTGCCAAGCAACCAACACTGGCTAATGTTCGGTTTTCTGCCTTCAAATAAATCTGTAATCAGCCATAATTACAACCCAGAGAGGATGACAGCTGGCGGAGAGTCGAGTCAATTGTGCAGTCTTGTGTTGGAACAAGCACTTAACCTAGAAATTGTGTTATAAATTTACCCTGTATTTAATCTACTCTACTGTGATGCAGTCATTTTAACGGAGGTTTAATCAAATACTGCAAAGATGTACATTTTCCAAGGTTAAACTATGCCTCTGTCTATACTGAATGGCACTGTCAGGGAGCTCTTGATTCAAAATCATTTCTGTGAGGCACTTGAGATAAACTGAAGCTACAAATATATTTCAAATGAAATTGAATTTGTAGTGTTCTCAGGCTGCTTACGAATAACATCCTGCAACCAAACAACAGTACGCTCACTGCGAGCCAAAGTCTGCTTGTTTCATGGCTTCTCAGTGTGCAAGACAAGTTCTTCAATACAAGATGTATCACAATATTAAAGCATACCTCTGTGGAAATAAATCAAAAATAGTCATGTCACATAGCTATATAGTGTACACTTAGTTATGTCGCAGTGTTTTTGAGTTCCTGGTGATGGTAGGGAGAAGTGAAAGAGATTTTGTGAAAATGTCAATAAATTAAGATGAGCTCGCTGCACGTCTCACGCCGATCGAAGCCATTATGCAGTTTCTCATTGGTCACAGCTCCCACCCCTCCCCCTCTTTTTTTTTTAAACAAGCTGCATGGTTGCATTTTGTTTTTGGTGGAGGAGTGGTGGCTTTGAATTAATAAAAACTGCTGCACTGACTTGTAAACTTGATGTTTTTTCTTCTAGGAGTGGGTTACGCCACCCAGGTGATTGTTGCTCTGCTTAACATCTACTACATCGTTGTGTTAGCCTGGGGCATCTTCTACCTGTCCAACTCCTTCACCTGGGATCTGCCCTGGGCCTCTTGCAACAACTCCTGGAACACAAGTGAGATACAGGACACTAGCACACTGGGCCAGACTAAAATTTCTTTGCCATGAATATTTAAACAGACATTCATTATTTCCCCCTGAGGATGAATTATAATAACTAAACTTTAATCGCCAGACTTTCCATCTTGTAGTATTAACAGATAAAACATTAGTTAATTTGTCTAATAAAACTACAATAATGACTTTCCCATTAGCTCTGCTTGACTTTCTAATTATCAAATGTTATCGTGCTAACACTCCAGACTAAGATTGGTGAACATGGCAAACATTATACCTGGTAAACACATTTTAGCATTGAATTGTTTACATGGCTATAGATTTATATATATATATATATATATATATATATATATATATATAAGTTAATGTTGTACATACTGCTGTTTTATTTCTGGAGTTCCTCTTCATCATTTAGTTTAATTTTATCTTAAAGGAGCGAATGTTCCTGCACCATTTCACTCCTCCTTCTCAGTGGTGGCATTGTTTCGCTTGCCTGTGTGTAACTTGGAAACCTCAGAGAAAGCTTGGATTTCTTCACAGGATTGAATGTCTTTTTGTCTTTCCTTCATTCAAGATTCCTGTATGGCATTTCAGAGGGGAAATAGCTCCATCAATCACCATGAGAACACCACCTCTCCTGTCATTGAGTTCTGGGAGTAAGTGTCTTTTTGTTTGGCCATGTCCTCACATGGCCTTAGGTGCCAACAAGTTTACCAAATATTCAACTTAACGAGTGATTTAATCTTGTGTTTCATCTTAAAATCATACAAGATGTCGCCTGTTTTAAAAATGTATGATTGCTAGACTACATTCAACTTTTACATTCTGTTACATGGTCTTTTGAATTGCTTATAAACCCTCGGTTTCTTAGCTCTTGAGAGCATATAAAAAAATGCTATACTGGAAAAGTTGTCTGTATAAACAAATTGAATGTGGCATATAATGAATTCAAGATAAAAACATTTCTAATGCTTACCCTATTTGTGTGTGCCCCAGGCGAAGAGTGCTGAGAATTTCCTCAGGTATTGATCACATTGGCTCTCTGAATGGGGACCTGGTTCTCTGCCTGGCCATTGCGTGGGTAATTTGCTACTTCTGCATCTGGAAAGGAGTCAAGTCTACTGGCAAGGTGAAACCTCTCCTCAATTCAGATATTCACTATACAGTAATCATATCATATTATCAATAGTATTCTTTAGCAACACTGTTCATGCCTTTTGGTTTTATAATGATTATTGCTGTGTGGTTAGGCCTTTCCTCATACATGCTGGAAGTGAAGCATTTCATTATAGTAGGAGACCTTCTCCTACTTTGGGCAGCTACCTAGTTTTAACCACTTTCAAAACATTGTCATATATTTAATACAATATAACAGTACATTTTTAGCCTAAACACATTATTAAAGGATTAAGAATTTCTGAGAGGCCTTGTCATGAGTCTTGTATACACGTATGTGATTAAGAGGCTCTGCTGTTTTCTTTCAGGTGGTTTACTTCACAGCCACCTTCCCCTATGCAATGCTACTGGTCCTGCTGATAAGAGGGGTCACCCTGCCAGGCGCCTCCAGGGGAATCCACTTCTACCTGTACCCTGACCTGGGACGGCTGTCTGACCCACAGGTAGGCTGGAAATTAACTTGGTTTTATATGTATGTATGGCTGGTACAATGATGTCATGTCTATCAGTCTTTTAATACTACTGAAAATGCTTTGATGTCTTAACATTAAAATTGGTACAAACTGGGCACAGTACTGCCTCCGGATACCAAGCCCAACAGATTATCGGGTATTTTCAGCATATTCTTTAAAACTTGGAGTTATTTCCAGGTAATGTCCAACAAACTTGACCTTCCAGGCTCCTTAAAGCTGCCACCTCTGCTGTTTTAGTTCACAAAGATAATCATAACAGATAATGTGCCAGTCTGGCAAAACAGTTGTTGAACGTAACTCTGGGAGCAGGGATACAGAGGGTAACCAGCGACCCAAAATTTGTCAGTTAAACCAGGACCATGTGGAGGAAGTTGCTATAAATTGAGATGATTGTTAATCGTTGTGTGTAAGGTAGGCAGTTTAGGTATTAGAAACTTTTTATTGACTTTCCCGTAGGAACAAATACAAGACATTTTATTTGATAAGATAGCTATTTACTTGAACGTTTTCTTACACCCTTTGTCTGAACGTGCTCAGGAAAGCCAGGCTGTCAGTAGGTCCTTGTAATTGCCTTCCTATAAGATCTGATCTGCTGTTGCTTTGGTTGAGGTGCAGTTAAGTTTAGGCAACTAAAAGTACTTGGATATGGTTAGGGAAAGATTGTTGTTTTTGTTTTCCAGCCTGTAACTTTACTGTAGAGCAATACCGTTAATACTCTCACTACTCTCATAGTGTAATTTTGGCCACAGCAGACAAAGTTAACTACTATGCTGTCCATAGTGGAGCAATTAGCAGCTAATGAACCAGATCATTTTATGAGATATTTTAATTTAATTTAATATTCTAAATTTGTGCCGTATTTGCTATCAGTTTTGCCATATCAACTTAAAAGGTGTGGATAATTATTTCTGTGTTGCAATCACAGCTTGTTTCTGCTGCCTCCAAGTGGCCTGGAAAATTAGATAATGCCAGTTTAGGAGGACAGGATTTGCATCCATCCATCCACTCCTGTGACATTTTGTGGCTGTTTAGCATCACAATACTTCCTGCTTTTGCACTGAACATAAACATTAGTTGCCTTAAGCACACAAGCAGTGCTGCCATCAATTATTCTCTGGGGAACAGTGTGATTTAATAATGTGTCCAGCAAAATGGCAAGACTTATCCACTAGCAGTGGAGAGAGAAAGAGAGTGGACTGGGAATAGCGGTGGTAAAGGGGACTTATCATTTCTTCTTTCCTTGCTGCTAGATTGCAACCAGTGAGAAAATCTAAAAGAGGGGGCCTCCTCAGTCCCACTCATGTCTCTGGGGAATGAATACAAGCCCTGTCTGTGCAGGCCAAGACTATCTAGGCTGGTGGAGTTGGTGCCTAGGGAATACCTGGCTTTGTCTAATGTTGTGTCCAGAGCTTGTGTTGTTGGTTGGACCCCTAGTCAATCAGATCTTCAATGCTGGCTGCCAGCTATCTAAAACATGCCCCAGTGCCCTGGAAGCACTTTACCAGAATTGCAAGCATTAAGAGAGGCCTTATTTGAATTTTGAAGTGTGAGTGAATGTTCAAAGAGAGGGTTGAAAAGTGCTGCACTTTATGCCTCAGAGAGACTGGCTGGATAAAAGGCTTTGCTGGGTGGGTGATGTCAGTATCGTGGGGTTGAGAGGGATAGAGTTTTAGGATTTGATAGATTAATTGGGAGTTTGATTGTCTTTTCAAAAAGAGATTAGGCTGTGGGTCTGTTCCTCTTTCATTAAGAAGTGCACATACATGGTAGACTGTGTGAAAATCAAGCTCACAATGAACAACACTAAATTGAAAAGGCTTCACAATAAACTTTTCTGTGACTCAGGTGCTACTATGATGGAGAGCAGTTCCCAACACTTGATGCAGAAAGAATTTAGTGTTACCTTTATATTGTTAATGAAATAGTCCTTGTCATTACAACTCCATACTGTATTTATTCTGTATGTGAGAGCTAATGTAGCTCAGAAGGCCCTATTAGTTCAGCTATATAATAAACTGGTTTGGTAACAGATAAGCTGTGGGTTTTGTGGCTGTGTGGATTGAATCCAGTCTGAATGAATAAATGTACAGTGTTTCTCAAAAATGCGCATTTTCAAAATTGACTTTTATACGTATTTATATAAATGTTTGGTACACTGCAATACATGCCGCATATACAATACTTATTTAGCAGATAGAATGGAAGGTCCAGTTTGTAACATTTAGGATGATGTATTGAACAAAATGGAACATAATATTCATAGGTATGTTTTCATGAATGTAAAATCATCTGAAAATAAGAATCATTGCATTTTTGTTACCTTAAAATGAAACGTTTTTATCTACAGTTGCAACTAACTGGCTGTAGCTAGGGCATTCTCCTACACAAATCACCGGCTGTTCTCATTTCCAGGTTGTCAAATACAGATCCAAGCGGTGTTCAGTTGGTTGCAAACTTTACTGCTAGATGCCATTAAATCCTACACACTGGTCCTCACATAGCATAATAAAAACCTGAAACAAAGGGAAAAAAATGTTTTAAAAAAATGTGTTTAAATTATTGTTATTTTTCCCTTTTAAATCTATTTCTTTGATTTGATTATATGGTTTCCATTCTGTCCTAAGGTATGGATGGATGCTGGAACTCAGATCTTCTTCTCCTATGCTATCTGCCTGGGTTGCCTCACCGCCCTTGGAAGCTACAACAAATATAACAACAACTGCTACAAGTAAGGACTGAAATGACCGTGTATTTGGCATTATTATGAACGACATAACACCACCTCTCTATTCTGTCTTAAATGTCAGTAAAAATCAAACCTGTTGTCTAACCACAATAGTTGAGACAATGCTGGGTACCATTCTCAACCCATTAAAACAAGCATTTCCTACTCATCATATGCCCCCTTCTGTGTTATTTCCAGGGATTGCCTGTCCCTCTGTTTCCTGAACAGTGGTACCAGTTTTATTGCAGGTTTTGCCATCTTCTCTATCCTGGGCTTTATGTCTTACGAGCAGAACGTACCCATTTCAGAAGTGGCTGAATCTGGTTGGTTTTTCTTTTACTGTTCAGAAAAAAACTCAACCTGTTATAATATCCTCAGGGAGACAATCTGTGATATGTTCTTTAGCGAAGAGCTTGTATTTCTACTGGTTTAACCTCTGTGGTTTTAATAATAATGATGATATGGTACTAGCAAGAATGACCAATAATGGTATCCTTAATGAGAAAATGAATTTAAAATCTGTCCATCTTAGGTCCAGGTTTGGCCTTCATCGCCTATCCTCGTGCTGTGTCCATGATGCCTTTCTCCCCTCTATGGGCCTGCTGCTTCTTTATTATGATTGTCTTTCTGGGACTGGACAGTCAAGTGAGACTAACACATGCACCACACAAACAGAGAATTCCAATAATACAGTTTCAAACATAATTCTTTCAAAGCACCATGGGTTATTTATCAAGCGATTGTGCACGATTTGCTTAAATTTTGCTTGCTTGGTACCATTTTAGGTCAGCAGCACATATACTCTCACATGCACAAACAAACAAACATACATACATACACACAAACTCATACTTTTTTCTTTTCTGATCAGTTTGTGTGTGTGGAGAGCCTGGTGACAGCCATGGTGGACATGTATCCCTCCACCTTCCGGCGTAAAAACCGCAGGGAGCTCTTCATCCTGGCAGTGGCTATTGTGTCCTTCCTCCTGGGGCTCATCATGCTGACAGAGGTTGGTGTCACTGACCTCAACAGTTTTTTTACAGAATAAGGATGTAATCTTTCCCATAGCAGGGCAACTTTACTGTACACCTCAGATTTCAGAATTACCATTCAGAAACTATTATTATGACACTTCTACCTACAACAGCATCTTGTTAGCAATAAACAGGAGATTCCCCTAAAGTCACTTTACATCCACCATCTCTGTTTCCACAGGGAGGCATGTATGTCTTCCAGCTCTTTGACTACTATGCAGCCAGTGGGATGTGCCTGCTCTTCGTGGCTATTTTTGAGACTGTTTGTATTGCTTGGATTTATGGTGAGTGTGTTAGCCAGGCTATTTGGGAATGCATGAATGGGGGTATTTAAAAGACAAAAGCTTTATTCTCACTAGGCACTATTCATCCCTGTCCGCACTGCCCTCAACATTCAGCCTATCAATAAAAAGGAAATGTTCTTTTTTTGCCTCACCCACAGAATGAGAGGTATAAGGCTGAGTGAGCAGGGTGTTTTTTTATTGGTATATTTAATTAATAAAAAAGAATATAATAAATAATATTATTAATTCAATTCATTTATTAATATAAAATAATTAAATGAGCAAAAATCTCAATAAAGTACCCCACTGTATTAAAGCGGATCTTATGGTTGCTAAGCAGTCATTTCTGTGAGAGGCGTGTGATGTGTGTCTTTTTACATTTCTACTGTTCAAAGAGAGCAAATCTTGACACAGATGATTGTTAGATATTGATGAATTCTCCAATGTGTTTCCCTCATTTCTCTCTGATTATAGGTGCCGACCGTTTCTATGACAACATAGAGGACATGATTGGCTATCGGCCCAGCCCTGTCATCAAATACTGCTGGCTTTTCTTCACCCCTGCAACATGCTTTGTGGGTTTCACATTATGCTTCAATATGCAAGCTTTTACACTTCTCTCCTAAAAGAAGAGCAGCCTCTGCTGGTCAACACTGAAAATACATTTCAATATGCAAAATAACAAATAGCCAAATAATCTGGCATTCTTGGTCTTGGTAGCTTAAAAAATAAGATATGGATTAAGGTTAAGTTTAATGATTATTGTCAGCTATTCACTGAACATGTTTACCAGTATTTCAAATATTCAGATATCAGTGTTGCAAAAGCAGTGCATGAAATATATCTCAATGTTTCTGTTATCAGGGAACCTTTGCTTTCGCCTTGATCAAGTACTCACCTCTTAAGTACAACAATGAATATGTATACCCATGGTGGGGCAATGGCATAGGCTGGATCCTGGCCCTTTCCTCCATGCTGTGCATCCCTCTCTGGGTAGCAGTGAAACTGTACTACACCCCTGGAACACTGAGAGAGGTAAATTTTACCTAAAAAATGCAAATGAATAACTGTCTCTGCCTTTGTGATTTCAGACTAATGAGAAAATGGGTTGCTCATAGTGATGAACCCACAGCCAATTATCACCCCTCTCTACAGTCCCCTTTGCTTCTACTACAGAGTGTTTAAGCCCATTGTGTTGGTTTTACGGCACACTTGCACTGACCTGTTTCCAGCAGGCAGTTATGTTCAAAGTTCTGATAAACCGACTGTACACTGCCTGCCCAGTACCAAATGGCAGACAAGCAAGGTTAGCAACTAGCTGAACATAGCAGAGTATTTAACATCCAAAGAGCCAGATATTTTTTCTTCAGAAGTTGTTGGAAACCAAAACAGAGCTAAAATATAATGCTGTTTTATTTTTATTTTATTCTAAAGTAACAAAAACATAACAATTCTTGTTTTCAGGTGATAATACACTAATGAAAACATGGCTATGAATATCCTCCTAAATGTTCCACTCTGGACCTTTAATGTTACTTATTACAGTCTTAATAAGATAGACACTAATGTGGTTTCCTATATATGAATCATTTTGTGTTAAAATGAATAGTCATCTTTTTTCTCAACATGGAAATCACAACACGTGTTCCACTGTTTAATGATTTTTTCTTTCACAGCGCCTTGTTATCTTGACCACTCCTTCCACTGAGTTACCGAAGACAAAGCAGGAACAGGAGAAGCTGCTGGCCATCTTTGCAGCAGACGGCGACAGCCTCCATCAGAAATCACCTCCCACTAAGGACGGCTACTTCCCTGTTGATGAAAAGGAGTCTCATTGCTAGAGACTTGAGGGTTGGAATCAGTGCCTTGCAGGGGTCAAAGGTCACTCCTCAGCTTTGACACTCTTTCTGGCCCCATCCAACTCTCTCTGCAATACCTCACCAGAGAAAGTGGAGAAACAGGCACAGTGCAGACTTTAAGAGTCACCTGACCTGTAACTGCTGATCTGCTGCTGGAGCTTTCTCCTTTGTACATTGCCTTCAACATACAGTATGATGGCATCAGCAATCTTACTTAAAGAGTTACATCCTTTTTTTGGAGAGTTGGTTACCATCTCATTTGCCAGTGGCAGAGTCACATGTACATTTAAAAAAATGTGGCCATTGTTGTTAAACAGTGGCTGAGAATTTACATTTGATCGTGTCTGCTTTCTAAGGAAGCATTTTTTTCTGTTATGGACATCTCTAATGTTCAGTTAGTCTGACATGACATTCCAGTTACTTTATTGATTCTAACATCTGCTGCGAATGGAGCACAAGAGGTGTCACATGAGTGCACACATCATAACATTTCACTTGAATAAAAGCTACAGTTTGTGTATTTAAAAGCACTTCTGTAATGCATACAGTATTGTGTATTTTATCCATCAGTCCAATCATGGTGACAGATCTGTTTTTACTGTATGGTGTGGATGTAGAGAGTTATCATCTCAGGATGTGAGGTTTATTAATAAAAAAAAGCATCCTACAAAAGCATACTAATAACCAATGCTTGAGAATGCAAGAATTGGATTTCAGATTTAGCTGAACTGACCACAATTCAACTCAATTAAGCTTTGTTGTTGTCTAACAATTGTTATTATGTTCATTTGTTCAATTCGTTTTTATTTCTCTTGCTTTACTGAACATTGCAGAGTTGCATGAATATGCTTTTTCTCTCTCAATCTTCTGAGTATTGACATGATTTTTATTTAGTCAGTTTCGCCTTATCTCTAATGCATTGAATGGTATGAAATTAAAATGAAGGAGACAGTTATGCCACTTAGATATTATGAACAGGCTGATTGAAGTGTTTCATTTCAAAATGAATATCTCTCTCGTCATCTCTTTTTCTGCTGTATAATAATGAATTTCAGCCTGTGTTTCTTTAGATGTTGGAATGAACATATGATCATTGATTACTGATAAGGAACACTTTTCCATATATAACTTTTATATGCTAAAATTATTTTTTATGACTGAATAAAAATAGCTTCATTTGTAACAAACATTCCTGTTGAAACATATGTTTAGATTTTGTGGGACATACAATTCATTATTCAGTACATGAATCGTCTTTATCTTTTACATTTATATGTTCTTTGTGATGATCAAGAGAGGTATTCTAAATTTTAGCAACACAGTCCTCATTTATAATAAAATCTCATTCTTAGATAATATTGCCTCACTTGCTAACAGCTAATCTTTTAAAGTTCCTAAAGTATTTAGGAATCTGGAGATGTATTGGTGCATCTAAGACATTGCACAATGTGTATGTACATGTGCAACAAAGTAAAATACAATATATTTTATCTTGTAGGCAGGTGGAGAGTAATTGATTAGCACTTTACAGTCTACTGTGTTTTGAAGCCTAAATGTTAAGCATTGCCAAGTTAGTGCAATGTATGTTCCATTAATCAATTTTAATATAGTTATTATATACAATACGAAACATATTAAACACAATACAATGTAGTATACACAATTATATATATTTCTAGACCCGATGTATGAAGATTTGCTGCTACAGCCCACCTAACCTAACCAATAACACATTATATAATTCATTGTTTTTTAATGTATATTATCATTAGATTTTGATCTAAACTTGCAAGAGTTGCAACATACCTTATATTCGTCTATCTCTGTTCTCAAAGTGCTATCTGTTATGCAGCTTTAATAGATTTGTCATGCAGTTTCACAGAACTCAACATAATTTAGATGGAGTCCATCAGTTCTAACCACTTAAATAGATGCATTTGTCACTACAATTTCAGTTTCTGTTTTATATTATTTCCTGTCTGTGGAATACTTTTCTAAGGATAATTTACTTCCCTACCCCACACCTTCAAATCAGCAGGGTTTTTTTGTGTTTGCCGAGACACAAGAGGTCTGAATGGCTTGTATAAGACGTTATTTATAGTCACTGGCGTTGGGGAAATGGTGTGACTAACACAAATCAGCTTTACACTGTTGTTTTTCACATCTCAAAGTACTGAATATCTCCAGAAATATTAGGAAATTACTTATTAGAGTGGAGCTATGAGCTACTGAGCATCAATGATTTGGTGTAACACCAGGTGAAACTGTTGCAACAGTTTTCTATTAGATATTCCAGTCAAAAAATAGTTAGAATAAGTTAATGAGTAATTTAAGTTATTAAACTTAAACTCAAAATATAATGCTGTGTATCCCAGCATTACATTTTGAGTGAAAACGTTTAATAACTTAAATTATTCAAACCTTAACACAACTATCCACAATCTAATCAGAAATGGTGCAGCAGTATTACTTGATTCAAGACAGACAACTAATCTGAAAGTAACTCCACTTTACTTATACGGTATAAAAAAATCTTTGCTGCTCTCTTGTTGCTACTCTGCTGCTTATTGTTTTTCCTTTCGTCCAAATTCAAAGGGATTTAAGGAGGTGTGGAAGTTTGGATTCCAACTCCCTGAGGACAAAAGCTGTTTCTTCAGGAAGACAAAACAGAATCTCCAGCAGCCTAAAAAACTAAAAGCAACGGGCTCCTTGTGAGAGGAGCAGCTCCTACAAGTTGAATACTGCTAAAAGACTGAATTGTTTCTTGGTTGAATTTAGATAATAACATTTTCTTTGTAGTGAAAAAGGCACTGAAAACCAACCCAGGACAAGAGAATGTGGAGCCTGGTGCAGTCTGTTTACTGTTAAGGCACAATGGAAACATGCCTGACTTCAAAGGTAGTATGTGGACTCCTTCTGGTTGTCACTGTGCGCTCTCAGGAAAAGGCTGCTCCTGTTTACCTTGTCTGCCCATATCATTTTTTAGTCTCACAAACAATACCAATGTACCTCATCCTTTCAGTGTAGTATGCTGTCTTACTTAATGATTAATGGTAAAATAAATACCTATATGTGTACTTCATAAACGGGCAACTGGGTGCTTGTTTATATTAATTTAAATATTTCATAAATAATTGAAGAAGCCACAGTCTGAATTATATATATGTTTTCACACTACACTAATCTCTAGATCCTAGTATGTCAAACTAATGTCTGAATTTTAATGATCAGTTATATAATTTCAGTGGTGGATTCAGATCATCTCCCTAAGAGTAAAGGAGCAATTCCACAGTGTCAAAACACACATCCTACATTCAAAATATTATTTTGTTAAATTGCAGAAGTAGGCCTACTAGGCCTACTATAAATGACAACTTAAACTATAAAAACTAAAAATATCCTTCTCATTATGCCGAAAAGTGTTATATTGTTACATATTTTATTACTGGACTAATGTAATGATGAGTAATTATTTGTTATATTGGTTGGTTGCTTAACCACAACAGGTCATCATATTTTATAAATCAGATGAATGTTTTTTGAAGCAAAATCTTAATCTGCACCAAAACTAGTTGCCATAACTACAGCTGTCAGACACTGTGAATGAAGTGGAGGAAAATGTACAATATGTTACAATATTTCTCTGTACATATAACATACATATATGTAACATATAAACCGTACGTCTATATCACAAATGTGTTGTTGTTTTCTGCAAAGAAATCTCAATTACATTATTATTATTATTTTTAAATCTATGTTTTTTTATTACATTCATGGAGCACCAGCTCTTACACTCCCTGCAGTTATTGTGTTCACTATTTGGCTTCATTGTACAGTTTATCTGTTGTTCTCTGCTGTTATTGATATGCATTGAATCTAATATGAAATATCCATAAATGTGTCACTTATTCAGGGAACGTCAATTTACTCAATGACAGAAAAAGGTTGGGGACCACTGCTTCAGGCGGTGCATGTCAACACGTAACTGCAGCAGTGTCTAGACGTGGCTCGTCGTTACCTGTCTGTAACACGCTTTTACCAGCAGGGGTCGCTGCAGTCATTATTCTGAGTCGGTCACTGTTTACGGAAGTCCAAGTGACGTGTCACTGTCCACCGAAGCATTGTGGGAAGGGAAGTGGAGCTGTCGGCCGTTGATGGCAAACTGCTCAATTTGGCGAATATCTTCCATTAGTGAGCAGCCTCAAGAAACAGAGATCAAGGGAAACGATGCTGCTTCACGAAGCTAATGTCACCGGGCTGTGAAGGAGAGGAACATATGCCGGTGTCATCGCTGCTCTCCTGCGCACGGGCGCTCAAAGCAGAGAAGTGGGATACAGTGTCAATGGACCGCGGCGTTTTTATTTTATTTTCCAAAGGAGCCGAGTAAAGTAGCGACGGATTATATTCCCGTTGTGGATGGGCGCGGGGGGCGACTGCGCTCCGGCATTCCTTATCGTTTGAAGTTTCTTGAGATTTCTGTCGAAGACGCCGTCAAAGATGTCGACCAGCAGTCCCGAAGCGGTGAAGAAATTGCTGGAGAACATGCAGACGGACCTGCGGTCTCTGTCCATGGAGTGCAAGAAGAAATTCCCCCCAGTCAAAGAGGTTAGCCTGATAGTTAGCTTTACTGACTCGTTACCGTGGCGTTCAGCAGGTTGTCTTAATTGTGAATATGCTTTTATATTCGTAATAATATACATTTTTATATATATTTGTTTGTTTTGAGCCCGTTTCCCCCCCCAACACACACACACACACACACACACACACACACACACACACACACACACACACACACACACCAGCCACTGGGCCTGTACTCCGTGGTGTTGGTGGGATGTGAACACTGAGTTGTCCTCACACTGAACGGGTACATTAAAAGTTGTGTCAGCCACTGGGCCTACCTGCCCACTAGGCGTTCATATGAAAAGAGTATACAGGTGTTTTTGAATGGCTTGTTTCCCACACTTTGGTTAATATGGCTTATGAGGAGCATTCATATAATGTTGGTCCGGGAGAACCCACATGAACTCAGCTGACCCTTTATTTTCATTAAAGCTTATAAAACTACATGTTTTGACTGGCAGTAGGTCATTTTCTAGGTATATTCAGTCGATACACCAGCTAGCTAGTTTTAAATTACATTGAAGTACGGTTTTACCCTTAGTAGTAGCTGCACAAACAGTAAAACCTGGGCAAATTCAAATCAGTTTTTCAGGGGTTTTAATTAAAGTACACTAAGATAAAAAGTATTAATTGTATAATTTGGGTAAACCAGCCCTTGATACTTCATTTAAAATGATTTGACAGCCTTTGGATTGAAGTTATAGTTTACCCAATAGTTGTATTCCCCACCTTGCAATCACTTATTGCAAGAGGGAGACGCTGTACACTAAAGTGGTATTATTATTCACCCATGCAGATGTAGAAAATATATCCCCTACATATATGGTCTTTTGTTAAAGTGTCAATTAATCCAGATTGCACACACAAATGCACACATGTATAGTTCCTTCCACTTTAAATAACCACCTAAATAACCATGACATTGTATTTAGACATGTTGCTCACGTTTTTGGGGGTGGCTGCACGAATCAGAGGTGGATATTTTTACAACTAAAACCAAAACTATACATAGATTCTACTTACATAAATGTTCTTTGTAATTTGTGAGATCTAGCCGCTGTTATTTTATTACCAGGACATTAGAGCATTAGTGAGTGGACAATGCTCAGGTGAGCCATTTTGCCCCAAAATGTTTTTGACATTTGTTGGAGAAGACGTGTTTGGCCTACTTAAGTCTGTCTAGGATCTCACATTGCAAGTTGGTTTCACAACGAGCTTGCCAGTATTGACACAGCCACAGGCCATTTCATACTAAGTGTTTTGTTTTTTTCATATTTCTTGGAACGATGTACTGTTTGTGGCAGCTGACTGCTTCTGTTGTGTAGCAGTGTTGGTGACATCATGGATGAGAACAAGTATTATAGTACAGGGAGGTGTGACGTCAGGGCCCTTTACAGTGTATGTGTATTGTTAGATTCTCATGAAGAAGACCCAGCTTATATGACGCCACTTTGCCCCAAATGACACAACCCTCTTTATGTTCTGTGCTTTCAGCCTTCCATAGGGCTTGTGTCAGAGTTCATTTACATCTAAAATGTACTGTATTTTCTTTTGATCC